TCTCCCAACAGGTTTGCTCTGCTTTTGGAAGTCCGCTGTGGCCGAACCCCGACGCCATCTTATCTCGCCCGCCCCCGACCGGCGCTTAATTGCGCGAACAGTCGGGCCTCGCGCGACCTCGCGCGACGCGCCGCGCGCGCACGTCTCCTCGCGCGCGCAGGTGCGCGCGGGCGCTACGATTTCTCCTGTACCTACCGGCGATCATAGGCACACGTGTTTACTTACCGACGTACCGGGTTGTGGCCAATATATGGACCCATAGTGGCGGAAGTAAAGCACATATTTAAAACAACATATCTACTACTCGGGACAGAGGTAACCAAACATGTGTACGGGATTAGGCTCGTCCGTGCGATGCGTATTCGTTTTAGCCATCGTGCGACGGGCCTCTGCGTGTTCAACTGCGCGCACCCAGTCCACTGTACCTTGGATGGCTTGAGCGGCCTTTCGCAAGCGCTGTGCATCGATTGGAGGGCGGCGCTCATCGTCGAAGAGCTGGCGTGCCCGGCCGAGGAAGCTGATGGCATCGTCGGGGCCGATCGTCTCCACGTCCGGTACAGCGTGTTTGTCGAATGCGCTGACCCATTTGATGGCACCTTGCATGCAGCGCACTGCGTTCCGGAAGAACCGGGGGTCTGGGTTGTCCACCTGACTGTTGAGAATCTTGACCGCAGTGAGCAGCCGGCGTGCAGTTCGCTCTAAGTCCTGCTCATCCTCGTCCTCGGGCTAGAACAGGTTTAGTATGTAGCCTCGGCCTGGTGCAGCTCGCCAACTTACCTCAAAATCGCAGTCTCCTCCACTGCGCGACCGTGGAAGCCCATCACGGCCGGTGGGCGGTGCCTTGTCAGGGGAAGAGCAGATCTATTAGAATATGTCAGTATTGCAAATGGACAATGCGGACTTGCTCGCACGCACCGGAGATGAGGATCTATCATATCTGTCTATACTTGGAATATTCACATCCGAGTCCGAGTCTTCGGCGGCCGGCGCAGTACGCTGGACGCGTGGCGGGCGCGGAACAATAGCCGACCGCTTGCGGCGCATGCGTGGGATCCAGGCGTGATTGCGCAGGTTTTCGGGTGCCGGGGCAGTCTCGCCGTCGATGGGGACGGTGTAGAAAGGGGGGATGTGGTAGCGGACAACGGTCCGCCACCATTTCGCAGTGAGCGGGCCGACTGCTTGCACGAGATGCTTGCAGAGTAAATGGGCGTGGTACTTCTGCGAGCCGCAGTCGCACGTCCACTGCGTGACATCCGTCGTGTACTCGCCGCGGATCTGTACCTTCCGGAGACGCTCCCACGAGCGCTTGAAGTCCTTCTGAACAGTTGTGAGTTTTGCAGGACGGCCGGGCCGGGAATTCTTCAGGATGCGACTGAGCGTGACGCGATACCGAGGGAGCGTCTTCGTAACGACCGCGTAGAGCGCGAGATCAATCGGCGGTCGGTTGTACATGTGCAGTACTAACCGCTTGATGCCACGCCACAAGGCCTCAACAATCATGGTTGTCCGCTTTCGGGGGATGCTCTCGGCGTACGCCGACCGTGCCCAGAGTTTCCAGCGTGATGGGCAGTACCAGGAGTTCCAGAGGTACGCCCAGACCTCGGATAGGTTGTTCGCCTTGCAATGGCGGTACATCTCTTCAACGGCGTCTCGATAAATGTCCTCTGCGGACCGACGGATACCGTGGCGCTCGGGCAGGAGAGGGTGCTGGCATGCGTGTTTGGTGAAGAGCCGGAGGATGGGGAGGCGGTGGCAAGCCGGACAGAACTGGTAGTCCGAAGCGCGGGAGCGTCCGCCAGTTTCCGATGTGTCGGGAGGAGTGTCGGGGTCGACGTTTGCAGAGTCCCGCTCGATCGCATCGACTTCGCGTCGGCAATCGTCTTCATCGTCGATCTCAGTCTCCTCTCCCTCGTCCACCTCCACTAGGTCTGGAATGTCGAAATCTTCGTCTTCCCATTCATCTCCGGCCTCGGCACGATCCGCGAAGAAGATGCCGTCGTCGCTTCGCTCGTCATCATCCAGCTCGAGCGCTGGATTGTCGACCAGCTGAGAGGGGCGTGCGGCGCAGCTACCAGCACGCTGCACATTGAACTGCTCGGCGGTGCCACCCTCCGCACGATTGCCAGACTTGGCGGGACGATCCGCAGGCGGCCGCAGGTGGCCGAGTGCATCGGCTATGTCCCCGGGCTTGAGAATGATCCGCAGCGCCGGTGTGAGAATTGGCGGGCGGCCGTCCACCAGTAGGCGAACCCGAGGGAGGGGCTTTTCCGGGGGTGGAGGAATCTGTAGATCGTGAATTCCCATCAGTCAGATCACACTGTCAGTGCCGAGAAACATACCGGATCCAGGCCAGCTTCAGAGCGTTGAGCAGCAGGGAGGAAGTGGGGGTCAATGAACGAGAATTCACTGTGAGCGGCATCTGCGTTGTAGGGCGCCGGAACATGCTTGTTCTTGCAAAGGCGCTGCTTTACGGCGCGAAGACCGTGCCAAAAACATAGCTGATGCTTCGCATACTTCCAGGTGGCGCCCATCGCGTTGATCTCGGAGAAGTCCTTGTCCGTAAGCGTAAACTCGGGGTCGATGCCGAGCTCCTTGAGCCGCTCTAAAAAGCGCGCGAGTACCGCCTGCTTGGCTCCAGCAGCGGCGTCCTTGGTCGTCCGGAGGAAGATGAATGCGAGTGGAATCCCAGCGCCGTTTGCATCCGCGACAGCAGAAAAGAGCTCGAAGTTCCCGCCGTTGGTATTCCCTAACACGGACTTAGAAATAATCGATAATAAATGAAAAGGCCGCTCACACGTTGAGTCCATTGCCAATTCTTGCGTGTGCTGCGCCCAGGCGCCCACGAAGTCGGTTACATAAAACGCTAATGCTTCTGTTCCTGGCTCTGCTTCCACATCCAGCATGGCGATGTGATGATCCTTCCCTCTCTCCTCGACGAACTTACGCGCGGACTCTAACGGCGAGTCTGCAAGACGCCACTCCTCGCGGCTGACCACGTGCCAATAGTAGTACACGGTGTTTGCACTGTACGGCAGCTCTACATCCTCCACGGGGAGCCCGCCCGCCTCTGTCTGCAGGATATGAGCCCAGATCTACAATCTCGGTAAGCCGCTTGCTCTAGGATGATGTCGTGATCGGGCTGGACTTGCCTGCCCGGGTGTCTGAGCACGCGCATGCTCCTGGATGTAACACTTCCATTTCTCCGGAAGGTGAACATCCAGGTATCCCACGTGTTCTTCTGAGTGCTTGAGAACCACACCGATGACATCGGACTTGTCGCTAACCGTCAGATGCAGCCAGCCATCGCATGGGAAACGGTCCATCCGATCGCTGTCCCGTGCCTTCTCTCCCTTTTGGACCTTCGCTTTGTGCTCACGGCTTTCTGATTGAGCACAACTGTAGGAGAACACTTCGGTCTCCTTCCGTACGCGTACACCGCGGTTCTCGAAACTGCAAGGTAATAGGACAAATCAATAACACAATCAAAGGTCCAATACTGATTTATCTCACGTCCAATGCAGCAACTGCACGTTTCCCATCGCATCGGCAAGTTGATTCGCGCGCTCCCGCGGTGTTGCACCGGCCGCCGCGATCGCAGCGATGTCCACCTGGGCGCGAACCTTCACAGGCGAGTCCGACTCCTTTACGGCATCCAGGAACTCGGCAACTGAGATCTCACCGAGATCTACTTCATCATCGTCGTCCTTCCCTAACCCGTCCTTCACGCCGTCATCCGTCTCGGCCTTGCGCTTGCCGGCGCGTTTCTTGCGGCTTTCCTTGCGCTGGTCGGTGCATTCCCGGCAGATAGCGGTCGGCTCTCCCTTCTTTCCGCCGGCGCTGCTCTTGATGCGAAGAGGGAAGCTGGCCAAATCCTTCTCAACGTGACAGATAGTGCAAATGGCCATGAGCAGGTGTGTGAGGGCAAGGAATTGCGATTTTTTCATTATACTGAGTACGATAATCATACAGGTACGAGGCACACAGGCCACGTGTGCCTATGATCGCCGGTAGGTACAGGAGAAATCGTAGCGCCCGCGCGCACCTGCGCGCGCGAGGAGACGTGCGCGCGCGGCGCGTCGCGCGAGGTCGCGCGAGGCCCGACTGTTCGCGCAATTAAGCGCCGGTCGGGGGCGGGCGAGATAAGATGGCGTCGGGGTTCGGCCACAGCGGACTTCCAAAAGCAGAGCAAACCTGTTGGGAGATTAAGGTCTCGTCCTGCAGGATATCTCGATCTCTATGGCACATTACGCTGATACAAGCGTGAATTCGCTGGAGGGTGATACATTCCAGCTGTATGACCTGCGCATCGAAGTCGTATGTCCTCCAGGGGAGCGCATCATGTGCGGAGCCAAGGAAGGGGACTACTTCACGCTCGAGGGCGAGATGCTCTATCTCCCGCCGGGC